AACGAAGATCTCTCTTGAGCGAACAGTTAGTTCTGTGTCGTCTCTCGTAGCGAATACACCTCGCCTTATAATTGTCCAGAATAAAGTATTTTATAAGTGAACAGTTCTGGATTTACTTCGTTATTATACCTTACGTGACTTTGGCTCGTAACAATTGGTGGCAGCGGTTACTCAAGTGTCCCGAAGACTGAAGGCCTTTATCAACGCTCTGCTCTGCTACATACGTAAAGTCAGAGGCATGATGATGAGGCACGGAGAAAGGGCATACAGCAAAGCCTAAGTCGAGTAAACCTCGCGACATTGAGGGAGAAGACAAAAGGCTACGATAATTGTTCCTGCTGGACAAGCGTAAATTGGCGTAATTATAATCTGTGAACCGGTCTACCTGCCGATAAAACCTCTTGACCGCCCAATATCTGAGGAAAAAGGCACCAGGAAACCGAGCTATCGCAGAAGTATAACAGTCAGACGAACGAGAGGAAAAGCACGAGATACCTGCACGAGTACGAAAATCAGAGTACTCCCTTAAGTCAATCGAAGGGCAACGACGGACCGACTCCGTGGACGGCAACGTCGGAACAACTCCGTGGACGACAACAACAACGCGACTCCGTGGACAGCCAACACGTAAAAAGGCTATACTATATTACATCGACGGACAACAGCATCTCGGACTAGTGATAATCATTTACCAGATAAACATGTTTTACGTTATTCTACTTCTGTAAGTTTTATGAATTATAGAAATAAAAAAGCAAATTATAATACAGGTAGTTCCGATAGCAATTCAACGAGTAGTAGCTTCGAATCCGAACATATATTTTTAAGAAAAAACGCGATAAGCATGGATAACGACCAGGCGTCACCGGCAGATATTCTTAGGCCAAGCAATTCTAATGATAACCAACGAAGTCGAAAGTCTTCCACCTCAACTAACGCCAGTTATTTCTCTGTCCGGCACAGTTTAAATCTTTTGCCAACTTTTATGGCACAAATATTCCAGTACATCAATTTGCGCCCGATTGCAAAGGAGTTATAGAATTAGTGAAACCGGATGAAAGAGAATTCTTTTTTAGAGCAATCTTACAAACAAAATTAACAGAAGACGCCGCATTAATTAAATCAATATACACAATAACGAATATCGATAAATTATGCAACGCGTTAAAAAGCAAATTCGGTAATTGTATGAGCATTGGGAATTAGAAGTAAATAATTTGAGGCAAAATAGAGACGAATCCATAGAGAATTATGTGACTAAAATAAGAAAATTTAACTCACAATCAGAGATGATCACTGCAATATCTAATTATCCTGATTCGGCAGCAAGAGCAGGACTGAGAGTTTTTGCAACCAATAAATTAATAAATCACTTTGTAGGCGATTTAAATAGAAATATCGGACAACATTTGTTAACACAGAAATTCAAAACATTAGAAGATGCAATAGAAAATACCGTTAGCTTCATAAAACAATTACAGTATCACACAAGATCGGAAGAGCACACGT